CTGTATGTAGTGTGGCCCTGTTATGAATAGTAAATTAAGTATATTAGTCACGATCGTCACCATCGGTATAAACAACGCCACCTATCGGCTTGTTTCGGTTTTATACTTAAAGACTTCAAGTGATTTTACACATGGCCTATCAAAAAAATATAAGTAATGAACGATGGTGTCTAAACAGCTATGTCATGTACTTAGATATTATATTAATGTGGAGATACAACCTAATTTGAATAATACCGTAATCAGGACAGTTTAATATATAATGAAGTATAATTTATATTTTAAAATGCTGTTTTAAATAATATTAATTATTATACTGTAATATTGAAGTTTGTATTGCAAGCATGTATTTAGTAAAACTGAAGATTGAAAATGTTTATCGAAGTGACACTTGTATAGCATGGTAAATTTACTGATGTATGTTAGACGCATACTTACCTGGCATTGGAGTGACTTTGATCAAGAAGGAAGTCCTCCCGGGTGAGGCCTCGGCATTGTACATTCGGCTAGGTTGACCCTTGCGATTCCACTAATGTTGGACTCGTGTGCGAAATTTGTGGTAGCGAGGGACTGCGTTCGCGCTGACCCGCAACAATATATATGGAAAAGTTAGAAGACAATGATTCTTACTTCTATTATTATTATTATTATTATTATTATTATTATTATTGTTGTTGTTGTTGTTGTTGTTGTTGTTGTTGCTGCTGCTGCTGCTGCTGTTGTTGTTGTTGTTATTATTATTATTTGTTGCTGCTGCTGCTGCTGCTGTTGTTGTTGTTGTTATTATTATTATTATTTGTTTTATGTGTATTGGTCGAATAAATAAATGAAATGAAATGAAATGAAATGAAATGAATTGTTTCCGTAAATCGTTATACTTCTTTCTCTCACCTCTTCTACGGTTACAGTATTCAATTCAAGGTAATAATTTTCCCGGTTAATAATTCCCTCTTTTATGGTAAAACGATCTATCCTAAATATAAACATTTTCATTATGGTTTTATTTATTATGACCATATTCTTT